CACTTTTTTAAATTTTTTATTACCAGGAAGAGTGGGTAGTATAGTAAAAAAGCTTTGCAAACCTGACAAAAATTTTTATCCAAAAGAAGGATGTTACAAAAACCAGAAAACTTGACATATTAGTCCAGAAACAACTCTTCTTTTCTGTGAGTAATAAACTAAGTCTGTTAGCAAGTAGTATATAAGAACTACTTCTAAATAACAGATGCTATTCCTGCAATAAGTGATAAACTCTAAACCCACTAGTAGATAAAAATTATCTCTAAATAGTAAGTGCTGTCTTATAGTTTCATCCTCAATTCCAAGTATATTATATATCTAGTTTACTGTTTTTGGATTAGATTTTTCTTAAAAATTTTTGTTCAAGGGATTGTTGAAAAGAGTTCCATTGTTTTATAATATTTTTATTATATTTTATATCATGTAATATTTTTAATATATTTTAAATATATTGTAAAAATCAAGTTGTATGGGACTTAATAGAAAAGAAAAAAATATTTTTACAATATATTTTAAAAGATTTTAAATATATATTTGTTACTGCGGTGGTAAAATTAAAGTTCTTCCTAAAATATCTTTAATAATTAATTTATCAAAAAACTGGGTTTTTACCTTCGGGGTATTTTTTGTGTTAGATGTTATATCGCAACTATCTAGTGTCATGGTTCAATTCGTTACCCCGGGATTTCGTTGATCAGCATCAGAATTTGCATAATGCATGATCTAATTTAAAGTAATGCGTGTAACCAGATAAATTAATATCTGGATGTAATCTTGTAATATTTAAAGCATTAAGGCTTTCTAATAATAAAGAACGATTGTTTTGCTTAGCGAATAAACGTTCTTAGTAACAAACAGAGGTTGAGATGGCAGTGCCTGGTACGATACACCAGTGCCAAAGCGAGTATTCAAAGTGAAACGAATAAAGACCCCTATAACTGTGGACCGCCACGACACTAGTAAATATATATTAATTATATTATAAATATGTTTGGCAAAAAAAAAAGGTTTCTGCAAAGTAATAAAAATTATGAATGCTTATTGAACATCGTTATAATTGTTTATATGATAAATTTTCTTTTTTTAGCATGTAATCTATTGTATCAGATTGATCCTCGTTATTTTTTATTATTGTATTTTGATATTGAATGCGCCTTATAATAAAAAATAACAAAATGCATCTTTCTTATTCATCAGAATTTTAGACATGACATCCAATAAAAATTTTTGCTTTTCTTTTTTGCTTTTCATTTTATAAATTTTTTTTATGTGGTTTGATGTAATTATTGAAGAGAATTTTAATAATGCATCTCAATCAATATGTTTAGTGAGACCTAATGGTGTGAGTGAATCGAGATAAATTAGTTATGATAAATTGTAGTAAAATTACAACTTCTTTTTATATTGGCATATGTATAACATTGGTAGTATCAGAAATGTTAGATCGTAACTCTAGTAGTAACATATTATTAAACAGATCAAAATAAACTGTGCTTAAATGAAATTAAAAAACTTGTCCTAATTTTGATGAAATTAGGTTATTTTACACGCAAAGTCCTAATAAAGCTTACAAATGTAGAGTTAATAGAAAATAGAACAAATTTTTTATAAATAAAAGTTTTTTAAACTTTAAAAAATCTCAACAATTAAACCACCAAATTAAACTTAATAAAAAATGGGTTAATTCTAGATTATTATAGAATTAAAATAAAAAAAAATTATTAAATTTGGTTGATAATTGAGATATTTTAGCTTAAAATTTTAAAAAAGAAACTAAAATTATTTGGCTCATTTCTATTTACTCCTCAAATATTATAAACTAGAAAACTGACGACGTTTTTGTGGGCTGGGGCCTTAATTATTGGGTTTTACATTATAGAATTAAATTAAAATTGTATTTAAATTTTATAAATTGCTATAAGAGTATTTATAATAAAAAAAATTATAAATTAATCCTTGTTTAAACGAGCATTTTGCCCTAATTTCAGTAATCTGTAAAAGGTCAGCAAGAGTACAAACTCTTAATACACCTACAAATGTAGGGCCAGTTGCAAATTCCTTATTTCCAAGATTTAAGGTAACGTTAAATATTGTGATTTGAGCTTTAATTGCCCAAGCAATACGCAAAGGAAACTGCATGCAGGAACAAATTCCTGATTTTCCTTCCCAAGTATATTTTAATGGGTCGAATTGGTACTATTTGATGATAGTTCGATATAGACAAAGTTGGACACGTATAATTGTCTATTTAATCAGTTATGATCTAATATAGCCGAAGGAAAAGATTCTTTACAAGTAGAGCAATAATTATATTTAGATCTGGAGCATCTCAAACTTTTTGAGAAGATTACAGTAAGTTGACATGCGAGTTGATAGTCCCAATGACCATTTAGTTAAACAAATCTCGATTTCTTTTAATATCAACAATAATGATCTATGTTATAAAGTCGACTTTCCTTAACACTATAAGAAAAGAAATAAAAAAAAAATTTTTACTGTATTTATTTGGTCTACTAATAATTACGCAACAAAACATGAATTTACAAATAAAAAAACAAGCTGTATTTATTTATTCTTTAAATAACTTATTTGTATTTTCGTAAGGAAAATTTTTCTTAGTTCTTTAAATCATCTTTAACGTTAATTTTATTATCACAGACAACTCTTTTTCTATAACGAACTGACGAACTGAAAAAAACGAGGTCATTATAGAGAGATTCATTATACTGTATAGAGTCGGTTATATAAAAAAAAAAGGCTATTGAATAAATTAATTGGTTTTTTAAGAATTTTTTTCCATTAAATAAAATACATAAATCTATAAAATTAATTGAGAAATCTAGAATTCCAGAGTAGCCATGCGAATTGACATCCGGCAAACCATGTACACATTTTCGGTATGCGATATTTGGGACGTCGTCAATCAAAACAAAATGTTACACGGAATGATAAAATAACGATAATAGATCATGTATACTGTAATCATAACGTGGGAGTCATTACTTTTTATTAAAATGTTACTGTATAAGTTTGATTGATCACTACGATTAGAAATGACCTTTTATTTATCATTTCGTGTAACAATTTTGTCGGATCTCATTTTGATCAGGGATATGGAAAAGGAGCGATTTTATTTATAGGAATTTCAAATCCTATAAATAAAATTGCACTTTTTTCGTGATCCTGGTAATATCGATTTTCTATTGTTTTTTTTTAAAAGTTATATAGCTACTATATTTTAAACCTAATATTTCGGTATCCAAGCGTTGAACCTAATTTAGGTTCAATTCTGGTTTTTTTGAACCCAAAATTGGGTCAAATAAAACTGGAGCCGGACATTTTTTAAAATTCAGTTATGATACGTTGACATATTTATTAGATATTTAATATAGAGCAATTTTAATTTTCCAACCGATAAATTATTCTTATTAAAAGTCTGTTAACTGTTAATGTATTCTATTAAAAGTCAGCTACCATATTTTAAACCAAAAATTTCGATATCCAAACGTTGAACCTAAATTAGGTTCAACTTTGGTTATTTTGAACCTAAAATTTGGGTAAAGTGAAGTGGGAGCGGACATTCCTAAAATTCAATATAGTAAGACTTAAAGAGGCTTTTGCCTCGCTCCAGTCAATTATAATATTTTACTGTCACTTCTTGACAATTTTTGATGACAGTGGTCATTCCGTCATTACCTGATGGTTATTGCCTACGAAGTAGGCAATAACATGTTAAACTTTATTCAAACCTACCTAGTAACGTAATGTAAAACATTATATATGGGACCCCCACAGCAAAAGGGTGCATTGGGACAAAAATTTTAATTTTGTAATTTTATAAAAATTGTATACCTATTAGTCTAATTCAAGAAATCAATTAAAATAAAAAAATTTTGGCCCAATGCACCCTTTTGCTGTGGGAGGTCCCATATGCTTTAAGGCATTGAGTTTAATAAATTTATTTTTCATTTTGTACAATCCTAATGCGATCTAAATATTTACTAGTTTTATTGTATTAAATTATAACAGCATCTGGATATAAATTCTTTTCTACTATTGTGTAAACAGTAAAAATGAAATATAATTCTTTATTAACTTTGATATATTTTTGGAATTCTGTTACAATGTATGTGTATTTGGAACTAAGTAAACTAGAAATTAAATCCATCCTCATGTACAGCACATACATTAATTTGAAATAAATTCTGGTAATTAATCATCATTAATGAAAATTAACAGTAGTACTGTTAATGCGATCAACATTACCAGCAAAACACCAATTTTCCCAACCATGCCATCCATCAGTTTCAAATTTTGCAGGACCATTAAATCTGGTGACATTATATTCATGACCTTCTAACGAAATCGTAAATTCTTGTTTATCGTCCGGAACTTCACGGAATTTCCAATGTTTACCATTGCGGTTTATCATAATATTTTGGTACCCGCTCATATGTACGCTGACAGCATTTGACATTATTTCTTCCCAATTTTTACCCATGTTTTTAACTGTTTATATAACAAAAATGTCTTTTTATTAAAATATTGTTTTGCTAAAAAAAAATAATAATAATACCATATACAAATAAGAATACCTTTTTATTTCAAATATCGAGTGAATTATATTCAATTGATACTATTCAATTGCTACTGTTCAAATCCTATTTTTTTTATTTTTATAAAAAATTAGTAAAAATTTCATTAACGTTAATATTATTTGAAAATATTTATGATTCTTTACTCACAGATAATTTAATAATAATATTTGAAATTGCTGGTTTGATGAAATAACTTACGGCCTTTTTAAAGAAAATTTCAGAATAATTTAATATATGACAGTATTGTACAACAAATAATAATACGTAGCACGGATTTTGGAACAAAGCCGTAGGCGAAAATAATTTGACGTTATTGATAAAAATATGAAATCAAAATTCGTATATTATTATGCAATACAGAGCTTGTAAATTCCAATAATGAATAAAGTTCGGTTTAAGACATGTAATCAGGGTTTATTAAGGTTAAATTATATAAATCACTGCACTTGCCCGTGGGCGTTATTTATAATAATAACGATAACTAATATGGTTTAATTGGCTGCAGATACGTGCATCATTTTGTCTCGAAATAAAATATGGACTGATTATTGCTCTTCTTGATTTAGTTGGATTTTAATTCTTTTTTATAATATAGTAGTCATTTCAACATCGTCATTTTTCGTTAATTATTAAATTATATAAGTTATTTCCTTTTTATCGATAAGTAAGTTTCACATACGAGGACAAACATAAGGAATTATCTACGGGATTTAAAAAAAAATTACGAAGATCGTCGATCCAACTAATCGAAAAGGGTGATATTGATCGGATGATTATGTATCTGATGATGCATCTTCATAGTGATGTAATAATGCAGTAATTCTAATTATTAATATTTTTGCTAGCCTGATTTTGTCTAGTTTTTTCGTCCCGCATAATCTAATGATGGCTTATTCTATTGTCATAATTATGAACCATAAGGCGGCCTGCCGGAACAACAGCAGTCACAAAGAAGTTCCGTGTATTGATGAGTGTTGCGCCCTGGTAAGTATAGTTAAAATCGGAACGCGAAAAATTGTTTTTTTTTTTCGATTACAAATAAAGAAATTATTGGCTTATTTGTCATCCGATACTCTAACTTTTAGTAAGGCGTATGGCACAAAAGCGAAGGGACCCATAATTATATTTCGCTGATTAAGTAATGCCCGTAGTTTTTATGCGAAATTCGGTGATTTTACGCTGACGGAACGTGAAACCTAGTTCGTTTTTCGTCATTTATAATTTTAAGTAACAAAATGACGAAATTGACGAAAGGTGACAATACTGCAAAAGGTGACAAAACTGAATTAACAAATGAGTATTTTGTTAAAACATTAGAATAAAAGAAAAAGAACGGATAAAGAAATACTAGGAGCTGAGTGATATTACGAAGTGTATGGTATGCATATAGTTTTATTCTGTAATACTGTAATGTCTTAATGCTTTTGCTGTAATGTCGAGTAATTTTTAGAATAAGACACTATATTAAATATCGGGAAATGATACAGCCAGTTAAGAACCAGGCTTGACGACACTGATCAAGTTAAGTAAGTTTTGGTACGTGATAACTGGGTCAAACGAGTTTTCTTATAATTAGAAAATGCGATTCGGAAATAGGTGTGCGACGACAAAACCAATCGAGGACGCAGTTACATGATCCTTGACCTCCTGAACTTAGTCATCATTTTGATTCAACAAAATAAAGTTGACACTTTATGTAGATAATACAAGTAACAGTAAACAAATGATTAAGATTAGAGAATATGTTTTAGAAAACCACAGTCCTTTATAGTTTCGTTCGAATTATTTTAATTGTTTTAATTTGATGTATGAACGTAGGCTCATTTATTATCCATTTATGGTCGAAGCTTATATTATGAATAAAATGAACTAATATAAAATTTTAAATTTATATTGATCTTGGAAAGTGTACTGGTCATATAAAACATAAAACAGTGATTTGTATATTCTACGTATGATTTGATTTCACTTGTACAATTCTACAGTTCATTTCAAATCTGTTCGTGACTATTATATTATTATACTCAGTAATCAAGCTTGTTTTTACAATATATCTAAGCAGTGGTTTTTTTTTTTAAAAAAAAAAAAACCCTCCCAAAATCGAACTTTCCGGAGAATGTAATATCGGTGATCATGTGATTGCGCCCTCGATTTTTGATGATGGTCCAGTGCTATTATAGCATCATTGGCATTATGGCACATAATACTTACGGCAATTAGAAATTGTGCAGAATTGATCTACTACGTACTGTACAGCCAGACCTCCCTAAATGCAACCCCAGTGCAACATTGTCCCAAATATATTTCTGATTTCCAAAAATACAATTTTTTTTATTGTTCTCTAAATGCATGTTATCGATAGTTTGGTCCCAACGAGTTGCATTTAGAGAGGTCTGTATACGGAAAAAATATGTTGTAATTAAATAATTCTACCAATTATACACATCATCATTAACCAAATTGTTAGATTTCGCAATAATTTTTGCTTATTATTACGTGTTATAATTATAATTCGCCATGTTCCTATGGATTCTATGGATTAAATTTATGTTAAGTCTAATCTCAAATTAGCATTTGGGCATTATGGCGTTGCGGCGTTACGGCATATTATATTTACGGCAGCTATATATTATGGTAATGCCGAATTCAAGTGATGAAATCTCGCATATTATTGGAATGTATGTGGTAAAGCAAGGGTGTGAAATGCATATCATGTAGTACTTATATGGTTTGTTCAACTTTTTTTGGTGCCTATTTAGTAAGTAATTCATGGTGCATACGTACGTACGTATCGTATGAAAAAAATATTATCATGATTAGTGCTTGCAGGAGAAGTGTGGGAAAATATGCATATATCATAGTTATCGTAGAAAAAATTCTCAGTTACAATATTTTATAGATACTTTCCTAAAATTATTTGGAATTTGGTTTTATTTTTCACATGTTAAAACCGAATACATCCATTTTTAACCTATTAAAATTAAATCGGTTCAAAACTCTAATCCAGAATTACTAAATGTTATTTTCATCACGTATTAGTGTTTTAGTCACTATGCGAATGTTAAAAAGATGAAAACATAACGAAACTTGTGAAACTAGCAAAGCTATCGTAAAATTTCGAAGAACATTTAAATCAAAAAGGTGAATATTTATCAAAATTATTTATTATTGCAGTCATTTATCTAGCGAACTGACTGTTTTGAAATTTTTTATTTATTATAAAGCGGGTTTGTTGTATAATGAAATCTTTTAGTAATTAAAAAGACATAATAAAAAATGGAAAATTTGAGATTTCGAATTGATCCGGTTTGTGAATGTACGTATTTTGATGTATGCTATTTGCTTCTCATTTGATTCCTTAATTATTTTGTATCTCACCTGATGAATCGGAGACATTTTTCAATTAATCAATAATTGATTACCGTGAAAATTTAAATTAATCTATTTATACATCAAGTTTTATCCGTAATGATCGTAAATTAGCCAGTAAGTGCAACATTCATTTATTAATCGAAGTATTTGATAATCCTGATTAATTTCTTATTAATGCTAATTTAGTTGATGGATCAGTTCGAAATGCTTCCTGTTGTTAATATAGTTTGAAATTCGTAGTGTTTACTATATTATTTGTACTATAATTTTTATTTTACATAATTATAAGTTATTCTTTTAACATTACCCATTTTTCGAAAATTTGTACAAAATACAATCACATTAACCAGTCAAATTGCAGTATTAACTTTTTATATTTTTTATAAATTTAAAGCTAATAAAATTGCAGTGTTTTTTTAAATTTGTATTTATGTCCTCCTCTCTTATGAACTAATTAATGTTATGTTAAGCCTGTAAATGAATAATCAATTTGGAATGGTATGTAACTTACTTGTATGTACTTGTAAATGTGATCGGATTAGTACCGCATGCTGCACAGCTTATATTGGCTTAACATTTTGATACGTACTTCCATATATTTTTTTGATTGATGTCGTTTGTAATTCATTGGCATGATTTTATCGTTGTAGTTGACGATTTCTAAATTTACATGTATACTAGTTTTTTACTTTGATCTAAAATTTATACAAATTATGTATCTGCAAATTTGAATTATTCGATAAATTGCGTTATACAGTGTTACATTTTTGAATATACTATAACAATAAAATATATCAATATTTATAGAACAAAAAAATTTGAATTGATCATCTTTAATCTTTGTGCCAACTGCATTAAAATAACTTTCTATTTATAGAAATATAATGATCTCATTTGCAATTATCATAAATCCTAGGGACACTTATAAAAATTCAAGTTTGCGAAAATCAACAGGTTAAAAGATGGATATGCCGAAAGCAATTCAGTGTTACCATCAATAAATAAAAATACAAGATAACTCAGGAAGAATATACAGGATGGATAATAAAATATGTCTAATCAGTCTCGGATATATAAGAGCTCAGCAAGTATTCAAGTATGCCAAATAAATAAACAAAGTGTGCAATAAATAATCGCAAGAATATAATATAATCAGAAATATCACTCATAAGTCTATTATAAAGGAGGAAAGAGCCTAAAAGACAAGCAAGGTATAATCATTTAAAAAATTGAAACACTTTGTGTAAACTGTTGAATATAGACTACCAGCACCATAATAATAATGTCTTCATCGTTAGGGCCAAGAAGTAAGACTAGCGGCACTATTCACAAGAAGCAAATTCGCACCAGAACCTCACAAATCGATGCAGAATCCACGTAGAATCCTGGTATTTTGTGGTAACTTCTTTATTTCAAATAATGTAAAACCGTTAAAACTAGCTATGTCAGTTACAACCTTGCAGTTAACTGCATAAACAACTTAGTTATATGAAACAGTTTATAAATTTATATAAACAATTTATTGAATTAG